GAGGCAGGAGACTCGCTTGAGCCCAGGAGTTGGAGATTGCTGTGAGCTGTGGTGCCACGGCACTCTACCCAGGGGGACAGCTTGAGGCTCTGTCTCAAAAAAAAAAATAAAAAGAAAAAATAATAATAATATACTGGGACTTAGAGGCCTCCAGGGTGGGGTGAAGTCTGGGTGGGGCGGAGCCTATGGGGGCGTGGTTGTGGCTGGGCGAGGCGTGGCGGGGGTCATAGAGCCGGGAGTGCTACGGGATGGGGCGGGGCCTCGGGACCTGCGTGCCTGGTGGGCGGAGCCCATGGCCGGCAGAAGTCCCCACCCCAGAGAGGGTTCTAGTGGGTGAGGGTCAGGTTTACGCCCCTGCCCTCCAGGCCGCAGTCTGGTGTTCACACCTCCTGCTCAGTCGGGCTGGTTCCCCACTTCAGCCCCTCAGGGGTCATCGTGGAGAGGTCTTCAAAGTTGGGGGGTCCAGCACCCGGCGCCGGTCACCTTGGTCTCTCTGGAGCTCCCCAATACCAAACAAATGAAAGGGCTATTCACTTATTTATTTGTGGGCAGAAAAACGGAAGGATTCGTAAACTAGGAATAAGTACACACAAAGGAGAGACGAGAGAGCACAGTGGTCCAGAGACAGCAGCCTGCCCATCGCTCGGGTCATTTCCTCGGGTGCACCCCTTCTCCACGCCACTGCAGTGGGTGGCTAACCAGGGTGAGTCCCATGCTTAAAGGATGAGGAACCAGGGAGAATATGTAGCTGAGAAGACAGTGTCTTCGGATTCTGCTGCTTGTTTTACTTTTTACTCTATAAGCAAATAAAATTTTTTCCAAACTCTTCTCCATTGGCAAGCTTCCTCTCTGAATTAATTTTACACTACTTTTCTTTAATTTTCTTAAAATCTCACAAACCTTTTTGAACAGCTGCTGTGTGGTATATCAGGCTCCGGGGATGCAAAGTTCAACCACCAAGGAATCCCCGGAGGTTCCTATGTCAACAAATAGACCGCAGTGTGAAAGGAGCTGTTTGGGAAGTGTGTGTCAGACACAGCAGAGTAAGCCCCTGTGCCTGGAAGGTCAGGTAAGACCTAACATCATGACTGAAAAAAGTTTTGAAGGATAAATAATAAGCTACTCACACGAATTTCACTGAAAGAAAGAGAATATTTCAGGAAGAAGGAATGGCCTGGGCTAAAGTGAGGTGTATCCTGATGTGATCAGATGAGTTCTTGTGTGAATTCAAGGGACATCAATTTTAAACATTTCAACTTTTCTAATTTGAATTAAAATTGGCTATAACTTTTATTTCTCGTTTCTTTTTTCTTTTCTTTCTTTTTTTTTTTTTTTGAGACAGAGCCTCAAGCTGTCACCCTGAGTAGAGTGCAGTGGCATCACAGCTTACAGCAACCTCCAACTCCTGAGCTCAAGCGAGTCTCCTGCCTCCGCCTCCCTAGTAGCTGGGATCACAGGTGCCTGCCATGATGCCCAGCTATTTTTTGGTTGCAGCCCTCATTGTTGTTTGGCGGCCTGGGCTGGATTTGAACCCGCCAGCTCAGGTGTATATGGCTGGCGCCTTAGCCACTTGAGCCATAGGCACCGAGTCTTATTCCTCATTTCTATTGCACTTTTAAAAAGTGTCTTATTACACACACACACCCCTTTGTCCTTAAAAGCCAAGTAATGACTGATGATACCTCTCTGTGCATCTATCTGATGAAACCTAAGGATGCCCCAGGGACCACTCTCAGCATGACCTGACACCTGCACCAGTCCCAGCCAGCTTCTCTTGGGGTCACACCTAGTCAGGACTTGCTTTCCCGTGTAAATTGGCTGTCTGTGGTCCTTTACCATCTTTCCTGTAAAGTTGTAAGTTAGAATTATCTGAGTTATATTTGGAGGACCACCCATGCGGCTTTTCATAGTTCCAAAACTGTTTTCTTCTGACATTCCATTGACTGGTTACTCTGTTACTCTATATGAAAATCTTTTCCATCAGGCCAGGCGCAGTGGCTCACACTTGTAATCCTAGCACTCTGGGAAGCCGAGGCTGGTGGATTGCTTGCGCTCACAAGTTCAAGACCAGCCTAAGCAAAAGCTAGACCTTGTCTGTACTAAAAATAGAAAAACTGAAGCAAGAGGATCACTCTAGCCCCAGTTGGAGGCTGCTGTGAGCTATGATACCATGGCACTCTGTCTCAAAAAAAAAAAAAAAAAGGAAAACCTTTTCTATCTTACTCTCTGGATCAAGTACATATGAGTTTTCTTGTTCTGGGCAGACCCTGGACCAGAAGTCAGAAGAGTCCTGTGAGGGTGTAGATGACCTCAGTCAACCCACTTAGCCCTTGGAGGCCTAATTTCCTCAGCTGAAAAAAATGGGAATGATGATTCCTACTGCAAAATGGTTTTCTAAAATATATTAGATGTAATAATAAACATATGTAAGTGCATAGTTTATGAGACATGACGTAAACTCAAATCGGAGTACCTATTGCCATTGTCTATTATACTCTGTAAATGAGGGGTAACAAAACCACGTCTGCTCATTTCTCAGGGTCTGCTCAAAGCTTGTGCCACCAGTACATCCGCCCTTGTCTAGCCCTGTCCTCCGATGAGATGGTCCTGGCACATGTGGCTGTGCAGCACCTGAGATGTGATGTGAGGATGACACACCCTGGATTTTGAAAACTCAGTATGAAAAATAAAAAGACTCTAAAAACTCAACAATTTTTTATATTGATGACAAGTTGAATAGGTAGAATTTTCAATGTATTGGGTTAAAGCTGGGGGAGGGCTAAAGCCTCCATGGGGCCTTTTGACTGAATCCAAATTTTACGGAACAAATCCCTTTATTTTTATTAATACATTTTTGCCTTTTACATTTATATTTTATTTTTAAAAAGAACACTTCCTTTATTGAACAGAGCCGTTCTAGATGGGGATGACAGCACAGAGCTTTGGTTCTAGTGAGGGGAGTGACACAATAGACAGAGCAGGTAACGGACTGGCCACTGCTGTGAGGGATAGAAAAAGGAAAAGCCAGGTGGCGACGAGGGCTGGGAGCACAAGCCCAGGGGGCGGGGAGCAGGAGGCCAGGGGGCGGGGAGCACAAGGCCAGGGGGCGGAGACGGGGAGTGCAAGGCCAGGGGGCGGGGAGCATCAGTCATAAGATGGTAGTGGCTGGGGAGCACCTATAGCTCAGTGGGTGGGGTGCTGGCTCCATATACTGAAGGTGGCAGGTTCAAACCTGGCCCTGGCCAAACTGCAGCAAAAAAATAGCTGGTGAAGGGCAGCGCCTGTGGTTCAAAGGAGTAGAGCGCCGGCCCTGTATACCAGAGGTGGTGGGTTCAAACCCGGCCCTGGCCAAAACTGCAAAATAAATAAATAAATAAATAAATAAATGGCGTTGTGGCGGGCATCTGTGGTCCCAGCTACTCGGGACGCTAAGGCAAGAGGATCGCCTAAGCCCAGGAGTTGGAGGTTGCTGTGAACTGTGACGCCATAGCGCTCTACCACGGGCAACAAAGTGAGACTCTGTCTCAAAAGAAAAGAGAAGATGATGGCGGACACCTCCTCTTCCTGACGAGATCAGTCAGGAACAAGTTCTGTTGCAATGTGGGGGGTCCCTTATCTGTAGAGAACCTAAAAATAATCATAAATCCCAACCAAAGTCAGGCTGCTTTGTCTCATCACCAAGTGCTAGTGATTCTACACCCATGATTAAAACTCTGCCTGGAAAAAGACTATCCTGCTGGTCTAAATCTGAGCAACTAATAGTGATCACAGCTAGGGCTTAACTATATATATCACATATACCTGTATATTATATGCATATAATTTTATTACCATTTTTTCTTTTCTTTTTACTAATTTTTTAATAAACATTATACTTTACATGGATGTTAATCCTAAACTTCCCAGTTAAACAGGTGGTTCCAATGTGCTCACTTAGCTACAAGAAGTTCATTTGGTTAAGGGTTTGGTGCCGGCA